AAGAGCACTCCAAGCAGCCCGCGAAAGACATCCGACGAGTCTCCGAGAGGCATCATGAGGCCTCAGGACTCTGGCCTTTCTGCTCGCCCTCCTCCTCCTCCTCCTCCTTTTCCCCATCCGCCTAATGCTCCTCCTCACTCCTCCCTCCTTCCCCCCCCTACTCATCCTGCTCATGCTTCTCCTGTTTCTCCTCCATTCTCCACGTTGTGGGCCAAGGAAACTCGTCTGGGCATCGTTCCTGAATGGGCTGATGGGGTTACGCGAAGAGTCTAGAATTTAGAACTCCTTGGGATCGTCTGACAAGTGCCTTGAGGCCCCTAAAAAACCATGGTCAATCTTCAGAACTTCGTGGGCCCTCTTGGGCGCTCTCTGGAGCTGCTTCAGGTCTACTTGGGGCATCGCCATAATTTGGTGGGGCCTCTTTAGAACTTCTTGAGACTTAATCAGACATTTCAGCTAGCAAATCATGTCGGGCAGATTCCAGGACGATTGGTTCCAGTGGCGCACTCTCAGAACAGGCCATGGTGTGGGCGGGTTCCGGCTGTGGACCGACGACCGACGACCGAGACGACGACGACCGACCGACGACGACAGACCGACCGACGACCGGGCCGACCGACCACCGACCGACCGAAACGGAGACGACCGACCGACCGACCGACCGATCGACCGACCGACCGAGACGACGACGACCGACGACCGACCGACCGACCGACCGACGGACCGATACGACCACGACCACCGACGACGACGACGACCGACGGATCGACTGACCGACAGACGATCGCGCGGACTGACCCAATTTGGGAGCCAAGCGTGGATACAATGCTAAGACCCCCGCCCCTGGCCCGTCAGCCCCCCCTTCCCCCGACTTCATGTGTGTAATGATCTAAACTGGGTAAAAGTCCAGCCCTCAATTATCACAAGAGACTATGTTCAAGCCGCCTATGCCGACTAGAAGGGGTGGTTCCAGCCTTCTTTTTTCACGAAGGGAAGTGTTCCAGCCGCCCAGGGGTGAGGTTCCAGCCCTCAATTGTTTCAAAGGAAAATGTACCAGCCGCCTATGCCGACAAGAAGGGGTGGCTCCAGTCATGTGTACAAATGAAGGAGGTCCAGCCGCCAACGACGTCGGCTTCAGCCCTTTATTGTCACACAGCACGAGTGTTCCAGCCGTCCACGGCGTGGGTTCCAGCTCAGCGAGAGCGTTCCAAGCGCCCACGGCGTTTGCTCCAACCATGCATCTTTACCCAGCACGAGCGTTCCAACCGCACGTGGCGTGGGTTCCAGCCATGCACCTCTACCGAACGCGAGCGTTCCAGACGCACGCGGCGTGGACTCCAGCCATGCACGTTTAGAGAGCGCGCTCGCTCCAACCATGGACTTTTACCCAGCGCGAGAGTTTCTAGCCGCACTCGGCGCGGGTTGCCGCCATGTGCTTTTACCGAGCGCAAGCGCTCCAGCCGCCCACGACAAATTCACACTAGCAAATTCGTCCACTGACTGGCCAGTCGGTGGACGATTGTTGGTCGTGAAATTTAAAACAGCATATCATATCGGGCAGATTCTGGGTCCAACGTCTTGTTCTCAACCTCATTGCATCCGTAACCGCGTTGGCTCCAATAGCGCGCTTTCAGAACGCACCATGGCGTGGGCGGATTCCGGCAGGACGACGACGACCGACCGAACGACGGACCGAAACGGCCGACGACCGACGACGACCGACAGATCGACCGACCGACCGACGAACCGAGACGACGACGACCGACGACCGACGGATCGACCGACCGACGCACCGAGGCGACAACGACCGACGACGACGACGACTGACGGACCGACCGTACTGGCCCGGTTTGGGAGCCAGGCGTGGATACAATGCTAGGACCCCCGCCCCTGGCCCGTCAGCCCCCCCTTCCCCCGATTTTATACGTTTAATGATCTAAAATGGGTGGTGAAAGTCCAGCCCTCAATTATCACAAGAGAATCTGTTCAAGCCGCCTATGCCGACTAGAAGGGGTGGTTCCAACCATCAATTTTCAGGAAGGAAAATACTCCAGCCGCCCAGGGGTGAAGTTCCAGCCTTCACGTGTTACAGGGGAAAGTGTTCCAGCCGCCTGCGCCGACA